CATAGTATTCTGTTTTGATGGTTAAAAATATTCTCACTAAAATGTATTTAAATACAATGGTGGATATGTGACATTGTATCGAATACATGTGTATAATGCAAAGGCATCCTAGATAATAAAAACCTAATATGCTAAGTGTCCAACCATTCTATAATTCAACCAGGTCCTATGATGCGTACTAACCACCAGAGGGCATACGCTACAATTGGTAGGTTAGCTTGCTGCTGGGGTCTGGCCAATTGGGACTGGGTGAGATGGGCTGGACATGCCCTGGACATGCCCTCCCATGGTCCTTCTGCAGCCCTGATCATTCACTTGTTGGGTCCCTTGGCCTGGCCTGTGCCCTCTGTCAATCCTGAACCCCTCCAGGGATGTCAGAGAGCCAGTTTTGACCTGATTCCCGCAAGCTAGGCCAAGGGACCCCACTGGTACACATGCACTGGGCCTCTAGTAATATATAATGAAAAGACAAAACTATAAAGACACTAAAAAAGATCAGTGGTTTCCAGGAGTTTGGGATGGGGAGGAGGTTGAATAGATAGAGCACAGGAGATTTTTAGGGCAGTGAAATGACTATGTATGATACTATAATGATGGATACATGTTGTGCATGTGCCCAAAACCACAATGTATAACACCAAGAGTTAAGCCTAATGTAAACTTTGGACTCTAAGCGATTATGATGTGTCAATGTAAGTTTATCAATTGTAACAAATGTACCACTCTTGTATAAGATGTCAATAGTGGGGGAGGCTGTGAGTGTGTGGAGATGGGTTATATGGATTTTCTATATCTTCCATTAAGTTTTGTTGTGATCCTAAAACTGCTTTAAACAATCTACCCTATGTAATAAAAGAGTAATATGCAAATTGACTGTACCTCTGCTACACCCACAAGCCATGCCCACTAGCCAATCAGGAGCAAGTATGCAAATTAACCCAATTAAGATGGCTGTATTCACGGAGCAAGCAGGAGGCTTGGGTTTCCCTGGCAATGGAGGAAGCCAAGCTTTCTGCACACCCTGGCCCACCCTGGACTCCACTCAAGGTTACAAAGTTTCAATTATAGAAGATAAATAAATCCTAGATACCAGGGCCTCTGCTTGGATCACTGGGGGGCGCATGGTTGTCCTGCAAACCACCACAGGACCCTCACCTAGGCAGCCCTATGATCCAAGGGAATCCCCACCCTGATCCAGGACACCCTTCAGAACAAACCAGCCAACCCCCACCTGTGAACCAGGCCTCTATTTAATCTAATAAAAGAGTAATATGCAAATTGACCATCACTCCAACACACAAGATGGCTGCCCCATGTGGTCAAAGATGGCTGCTCCCAGGTTGTCAAAGTTGGCTGCTCCCATGTAGACACAAGATGGCCATCACAAGATGGCCAGCAGAGGGGGACAGTTGGGAGGGACCAGACCTGCAAGAGAGGGCAGTTGGGGGTAATCCAGCCTGCAGGGGAGGCAGTTAAGGGTGATCAGGCTAACAGTGAAGAGAAGTTGGGGGCAACCGGGTCTGCAAAAAAGGGCAATTAGGGGGGACCCAGGCCTGCAGGGGAGAGCAGTTAGGGGTGACCAGGTCTGTCAGGGGAGCAGTTAGGCATCAATCAGGCTGGCAGGGGAGTGATTAGGGGGTGATCAGGCTGACAGGCAGAAGCAGTTAGGGGCAATCAGGAAGGTAGGCAGGCAAGCAGTTGGGAGCCAGCAGTCCAGGATTGTGAGAAAGATGTCCGTCTGCCCATTTAGACCCGATCCTACTGAGATCAGGCCTAAACAGGAAGTCAGACATCCCTTGAGGGGTCCCAGATGGGAGAGGATGCAGGCTGGGCTGAGGGAGACACCCCCTGTGCATGAATTTTGTGCACCAAGCCCCTCGTTAATTTATAATATGAATTTAATTATGGGTTAAATTAAGTAGTCATATATTTAAAACCCTTTTAAAATTATTTTGTGAACTTCAGGTCCATGAGGTTTGTCCATTTTTATTTGAGTACTTAGTGTTTTATTACTGATTTCAAAAAACTATTTATATATAAATGAAGTTAGTTTTTTGTCAGATGTTGTAAATATTGTTTATTTTATTTTGGTGTAAGAGTATTTTCTGACAGAAATTTAAATTTTTTTTCAGTATTGAGATTTATCAGTTTTTTCTTGCATGACTTCTAGTTTTTGTGGTTTGTTTTGAAAGGTTTTTCTTAATATTAGATTATTTTATGAAATATTCTTCCATATTTATATTTAGTATTTTTATTATTTTATTTTTATACTTAAATCTTACACTTATCACCCCCACAAAGAGTTTAGTTTGTAATAAACAATAAAAAAGCATTTATTTGAATAAAGGATTATGATTCAGAAGACATATTCAAAGGACAAGCCAAACTAGGCTCTGTGAGAACAAAGAAGGGCAGGAACTATAAAGACAAAACTACAAAATGTATTTCTTCCCTGCAAATGAAGAATTGATGACCTGATTAACAGGGATTGGTTAGTTATAATAGGCAAATGAGGGTGGTGATAACTATAAGGAAGAGGGATAATCCATATGTGCCCATAAAGCAATTGTTGTTCCAGGATGTTTATGGCTCAGGCTTGAGCTGAGTTTACCAACAGGTTTAGCAACTAAATAGCAGAGACCTGAGACACTGTATGTGCACAGGCTTTATGGGCCCCACTTCCCTAACAGCCTCCTGACTCTATTTTAAGTGACTCTTTTAACATTGTTTATTCCACTTTATTTGTTTTTATTTTCACTATCTGAAATTGTTTTTAGTTTAGGGAGTTAGTCAATTTAATAGCAATCAATAACATTGCATATTACTCAGTTGTCAATTTGAAAACATCAGCTATTGAGTAATTCATTTCCTGGCAGATTTTGAATACCATTTATGTAGTATAAAATACATGTATAGAAGATGACAATAATAATTGCTACTTCCAGTTAATGTTACAAGAATTAAATGAGATAATGTATTAAAGCACTCAGCACAGTGCCTGGTACATAATAACCACTAGTATTTGTTTGAGAACTTATTTCTGGGCATTATATAATGAACATACTAGGGGTATACAATACAGTGCCACCCATATATCTGTTTCCTTATAATAGCATCTAGCATAATATACATTATCTTATTTATATTTTAGTGATCCTAAACACAATCTCAGAAAGGTTTTGCAGATTTGAGCTTCAGGAGCATACTCCTCGCCCCCCATTGATATCTACTTTTAGGTACACTTGACATAAAACATGAGTTGTAATTTGGGTTACTATACCTGGAGACTTACAATTTGGTAAAGCAAAGGTAAGGTAAAACTTAGCTTTAATTCATTTATGAAATAAACATCAATGCAATGTCCATAACATATCAGGCACTGTGCAAAGCACTGAGGAGACATGTATGAACAGGGCCCAGGCTCTGCTCTCAGGGAGATTGCAGATGAATGCAGTGGTAGGGAGAAGCATTAGGTTCAGAAGTGATAACCCAAAGAGGGCAAGGGTGGAAGTCTTAAAGCACAACAATATTTGAGGTTTGAGCAGAGCAAGAAATCCAGAATAGGAGACCAAGGATGACTGTCTAGAAAAGGAGAGAAACTAGTAAAGAATGATTTATAAGAAGTCAAAAAAGAGAGAGAAGTTTAAAGAGGGAGTAATCAGTCATGCCAATTGGAACAGAGGTCAAATAAAAAGACAGGAGAGTATCTATTGAATCTGGAATAATGGAAATCATTCATGGCTTTGGGAAGAACAGTTTTAGTAGAATTATGAAGGATGAAGCCAATTTTCACTACGTTGAAGTATTAAATGAAATCTCAGAAAGTTAAAATGGTGAGTACAGACCCATTTCAAGAGCTTGGCCAGAAAGGAAAGGAGAACAAGACGATGGCAGCTAGAAGGAATTGTAAGAAGCATTTTTCATTCTTTTTAATGTGCTTGAGAATGTTTCTATGATGTAGAAAAAAGTCAGCAGGAGAGTGAGATTGAGGTTAAGAAGACTAATGGATGCTTTATACATCAGTATCCTTGAGATCAGATGAGGTAGTAGGATCCAAGTGGATGAGTTGGCCTTGGACAGAAGAGGTGACAATTCACTCATTGAGACAAGAGACAAGTAGTGAACAATGGGGGTCATTGCTGGATAGGAAAGTTCCCTTGATGACCTTGAATTTCTCAGTGAAACAAGAGATTCAGCAACAGTATATAGTGAGGAGAGAGATGGCAGAGTAAGATTTATGACAGCCATGTATCTGTTTGAAACCATTGTGTCTAGGAGAAAATAGTGGGAAAATAAAGATAGCAACTAATACTATTACTACTATTACTAAGTATTTGGAAATTCACAGCCCTGAGACTTCAAATTAGTGTTTGGAGCTTACCACCTTCCTCTGTAAACAGTGCCACTAATACTGCAGGTACCAAAACTTTGAAACATGCCTGAAGACGACAATGATCATTATCATAATGGTAGGAAAAAAAATAGTTAATATTCATTGAGTGCTTCCTAAGTGCTAGGCACTGTTTTAACTTCTTTATGTGGATAAAAGTTAGCTAAGTAATTTAATCCATGGAAATTGATTATGTGCATGTATGTATGTGTATGTATGTGTGTGTGTGTGTAAAATAAACATCATGTAGATGAAATATGTATAACATAGTCTCCATACTATGCCTGACGTTTAGCAGGTGTGTTTTTTCCTTTCTTCCACCAGTTTTTCATCCTCCCTTATTAGCTCTTTACACCCACTACCCTCCAGGGCTGAAGTAGGAGAATGATGCATATGTCATTGTCCCTGGTCATAGACTGTTCAGTGGAAGAGAGCAAATCTCTTGGAATTACCATTGGACTTTTGTCTCCACATTCAAGTTGTCATTTCTTTGAAGACAGGGGCTATGCTATCAGGGCCAGCCTGACAGTTTGAACCTGGCTGAGGTGGGGAGGTAGGAATTGAGAAAAGAAAGAAAGATAGGAAAGCGGGATCTGGAAGGTTGAGCCATTGACCGATTGCAGCAACTTTATTAACTGTGTAATGCCTTTTATACACAAACACTTGAATAGGAGGTCTGTCAAGAGGAATGTATTCTTTGTTCTTCTTAATCTTTAAGGGAGAGACAAAGCAGAAGTACAAATTCTCAGTACAGCAAATCAGGCAGATTCTCAGTACAGCAAATTTCAGTAAATAGTTACAGACTTCTTGGTAAGCCATGAAAGATTGCTCTCATTCTACAAAGGTTGTTCTCATTCTACTGATAACCGCCATCCAAACAAATCTGGGAAAACTGTGTGGGTAGTGGGCTAAGTCTTGCTAGCCCCTTCAGGTGCAAGGACCGTGCCAGCTTATACCAAGTCTCCAACACTATGCTATACATGTGTTTGTACCCCCATAAGCATTTGCATGGTTGTCACATGAGTCAGGCCCTAAATAAGCTCTTTCAGGCTGGGTTCAGCCTCAGAGGTTCTAGTTTTCAGTGATTGTCCTTTGAGCTCCCCAGGGTCAGGAAAATTTGTAAATCAGCAAAACAGCAACCAGCTTATGGCATAGTGAAAAATAGATGAAATATGGTGGGATTCATACTTGTGCTTCTTCAAACAAAGCTTGTCTTCTGTTTATGTCCCTTTTAAATCTTCCTCTCTTAACCCTACATGCTCTTGCAGTATAGTCAGGCCCCATAGCTCTGTTCTGAATCCTCCACCCTTCTCTCAATTTCCTCTTTTACATTTTCTTCTTTAACTTCCCTTCCTCCTCTGCACAATGTTATCTATTCTCTTTTTATTTTGTATAAAGTGGAAGAGTCTCCCAAGTCTGTGTGCCTGCAGCCCAGAGCTCTAACCTGAACCCTAGAACTGAAACCATGTCCTATAGGCACCTTCTCCTTCAGATTGAGCTATGGGAAAGAGATTACCTCAGAGGAAGAAAGGGAAATAGTTTGGATTTAAGGACATAGTCCAGGCCCCCTCTCTTAATAGACTGAAAAGAAAGGAATAGGAAGTAAAGGCTAAACACGTGGAAGAAATATGGATGAAACTTTGTGTTAACTGATTTCACTTTATATTCATGACCATTAGTCTCAGCTGACTTTCACTCCTGTACACATTCTTGATCCATTCACTCTCTCAGTTTATAATTTTCCTTTATCAAATTTCCAACACATTCTTTTCCCACATGGCTCTTCATAGCTGCTGACCTCTTGAAGCAGCCATAAAAGAACTCCCACAGTCCACCACATCTGCCTGCCTACCTGCGAATATACCCATATTCTTTCTCTTCTCTCTTATTACTATTTGGAAGAACCATTTATGCTCCTATATAAGGCCAACTTCTACATTTGTGCACTACATTTGCACACCTCTAGGTTACTCAAGGTGATTTCGCCATGCAATTTTCCCCTTGACCTCTAGCATCAGGGGTTTTCTCTCCCTAGTGGTTCATTCCTGCCACCTTGTAGACATACTGTTACTGTTAACATCCTTAGAAATAAACACACACACACACACACACACACACACACACACACACACACACAAAGATTCCTCTTGATTCCACATGTCCCTCAAACGTTGCCTCTACTTGTCCCCAATTATCTTTTGAGCTTACTCTAATTAGGCTGTTTTCTTCATCACTGTACCAAAATAATTATTTGTAAAAGTCACCAGTGACCTCTATTCTCTTAGTTAAGTGATCAGTTTGTATTCCTTATCTTGCTGGACATATGAGCAGCAATTAACAGAAGTCATATATTTCCTGAAATGCTTTATTCACTTGACTCCCAGGACTTGGCACTCTTACAGTTATCCTCATATCTTACTGTCTGATCCTTCTCTATCTCCTTTGCTGATTCCCCTTCTTCTCTGTTTCCTCTGATATTTGTCATCCCAAGGGTTCAAACTCACAACTCTTCTCTTTTCTACCCATATTCATTCCCTTGGGGATCTTATACAGCTTCATGGCTTTAAGTACTAACTATACAATGAAGACCCTTGATTTTATATTCCCAGCTCAGATAATTCATTCTCCCTTTCTTAAAATCTCCTCTCTCTCTCTCTCTCTCTCTCTCTCTCTCTCTCTCTCTCTCTCTCTCTCTCTCTCTCCATTCAACTTGAAAAAATTATCCAAAATTCAACCACCTGTCATTATTTCCATTACCATAACTATGGTCCAGGCAACATAATTACATCTCTGGATACTTACAATAGCCTCTTCTAACTAGACTATTTGCTTCTCCTCTATATCCCTCCATTTTGAAGGAAAAAAACCTCTAACTATATATATGATCCTTTGTATTCTCAACATAGAAAGGAATATGGTATCATCCAGGAAGATTACCTCATATAGGAAATAAGGAGGCTTAAAATTAAATCCTAGGACCAAATATGTTATGTAATGAACAAGAGAAAAATAAAGAACTATTCAGTTGGAAATAGCATAAAGAGTAGAGCAGAAGCAAAAGTGAACCTATTGAAACATAAGTCAAGTCCTGTCATTCCTTCATTCAAAATCCTCCCATTTCACTTAGAGGAAGAACAAAGTCCTTACAATGACTTATAAGATCTTATCTAATGCAACAGTGTTCCCCAACCTTTACCTACTTTTACCTCATCTCTAACCACTCTCCACTTATACTCACTTGTTCTAGCCACACTAATCTTCTGGCCCTTTATAGAACATGCTAGTCATATTCCTACTTAAAAGCTTTTTTTCCATGCTGTTAGTTATGCTTGGAAGGATTTTCTCCCATGTAGCCACATATCTTGTTTTCTTATTGAATGAAAGAACCACAACAATGAATAAATGATAAAATCCCCCAAAACTCTCACAACACCCAGACTTATAAAACCATTTTTCTTGTTTTTATACAAACTCTCTTTTGGGCAGTTTCAAGTATAATCTATATGCTCATGACCCAAAATATCTATTTCCAGTCCAGATATGTTCCCTGAACTCCAGAGCTATATCTCCAGCTGGCTACTGCAAATGGTTCTGAAGGAAGCAAGCCCTGTATTCTAGCTGCTGTTGCATCAAGCTCTGCACCAGGCTACATAAGATTGGATAAAGAAAAAAAATTTTTCTTGAGACTTGATTTGGGGTGGTGAATGTACAGATGATGTGTTGTGGAATTGAGCACCTGAAAACTATATATATATATATATATATATATATATATATATATATATATATATATATATATATATAATTTTAAATCTGTACTGTTGAAAGTATTACATATGTCCCCCTTTTCCTCCTTTGACCTCTTCTAGCCCTCCCCTGTCCACCACCACAGCCCTTCACCACCCTATTGTCTGTGTGCATGGGTTATGCATATATCATTACAACCAAGTTCTTTGATCTCTTTCCCTCCTGCCCATTCTACACCCCTGCCTTCCCTCTGAGATTCAATAGTCTGTTCCATGCTTCTACATCTCCAAATCTATTTTTGTTCATCCATTTATTTTGTTCATTAGATTCCACATATGAGTGAGATCATGTGATACTTCTCTTTCTCTGACTAGCTTGTTTTGCTTAACATGATACTCTCCAGTTCCATTCATGTTGTTGCAAAAAGTAAGAGTTCTTTCTTTCTTTACAGCTGCATAGTATTCCATTGTATAAATGTATCACAGATGTTTTTTGTTTTCTTTTTTCATTTATCTGATCATGGGCACTTGGGTTGTTTCCAAATCTTAGCTATTGTAAATTGTGCTTCTATGAACATAGGGGTGCATGTACTTTTTTATGTTTGGTGAAACCTGTATAATTTTGTTAACCAGTTTCACCCCAATAAATTCAATAAAAATGGAAAAAATAAATAAAAACAAAAGTAAGGTAAATTTAAAAAGGTAATTTTTTCTTCACAAAAGGTGCTAGCTATATTCCCAATGACCATATATTGTACTCAGGTAATTGTATACCTGGAGAGAACAGCTTGTTAAATATTCACTCAAAAACTCCAAAAGAGCTAGCTTTAACTCTGCCTCCTGTGAATCCCTGCCTGAATGTTCTAGCAGCAGCTTAAATACAGAATGTCTAAAAATAAACTCATCATCTTCTTTATCTCCACTGTGACTCCACTCATGTTCTTGGCTTCCAAATTTCTATTAATAGCATCATCATTTTCCCAGTCATCCAAGTTCCAAAGCTCAGGCATCTTCCTCTCACTACCTTCTGCCACTTGAAGGCAAAGTTTCAGATTTTATCAATCCCATCTTTATGCCTTTTTGTCTCTAGAACCCTAGGACATTATTGTATCCACATGTCTTAAGTAATTCTGAGCTACTTAGAAAATTGTCTCAGCAAATAGTTATCGAAGTTGTGTCCTGTAGATGGGCAATTGTCCATTTTTTATATAAAGTTGGCTTGAATAGAAAATATAGATAAAGATGGAAGAAAAGTACCTTTTTTCCATGTTCCAGATTGATAATAATAATAATGCAAAGTAAATTTTAGATTTCCTCAAAATAATGAGGTAGAAATTAGCAGCACTATTCCTCATTTACAAAATATCCCAGTAAGGCACACTTAACTTTTCTGAAATTTTGTTTTCTCAGTTATAAAAATGGAGTAATTTAACAAAATGAACCCTGTTTTTTCTTGCACCAGTAACCCAAATTTCCAAGTCTTTTGCTCAAACACACATGTTACATCATGAAAAATAAAAAGGGAGCTAGCATTTATTAAGTACCTCCTATGTACCAGACTTGTTATATACATTATGAAATTTAATACTCATGACAACTATGTAAGGTAGGTATTTTTATGCCTGTTTTTCAACAGAAAAATTTAAGGTTCAGCTAAGTTAAATAAAATTTTTAGGGTCACACACTTAATAGAGACTGGATTTGACCCCAGGTCTCTTTGCCTTGAAAGCCTGTCTTTCATATATACATACTAGATGCCCATTGCATGAAGAGATTCGTGCAATAGGCCTTCCTTCCCTTGGCCAGAGTCTGCAGTCTTGTCTTCACTGTGTTACTCTGCTCCTGTAGATCCCTTTGCCCCCCACCTTCCCTCTTATAGCAGACGTCCTGCCCCACCTGGCCACTGCATGCCTGGAGCAACTGTACAGCTTCCATCTTTGGCCTTCTAATTTGCATACTCACTCTGATTGGCTGTGGGTGTAGCGGAGGTATGGTCAATTTATATTTTTGTCTATTATTATGTAAGATAGAACTTGCCCCTTTGTTGCCTTTCTTTAATACCAAGCTATAGGTTCACTGAACCAATAATCTAAAAAACATTTATAATAATTTAAATTCTGGAGCTCCCTTTTCTCCTCTTATTGTACAATTCATTTCTAGCACATATTTTTGTAATCTTAAAGAATGTGTTCCCACCAGGGTAAAACATAACTATGAATAGCT